CAGGGGTGTCCAACCCGCGGCCCGCGGGCCGCATGCGGCCCAAGGCAAGTTCCAATGCGGCCCAATAAAGGTGTAAACAAAACCGACAAATGTTTTAATTTTTTATTATTTATTTATTTCAACGGCATAAACTCAGAAAAGAAGTTTCACAAAGCCATAAACCTTTATTTATATTTTAGTTTTGAGTGGAAATGAAATATTTTCATGTACTTGGAGATGTGTGAATGAGGAAGGATTACTAAATAAAGCTGGAGTTGTGACTCAAAGGATTATAGACAAAGATAAAAAGTTGTCAGAAAGGTTAAATAGTTCTTCTGTTAGGCAAATATTGAGTCTTAATTTTCCAACCTTTCTCACTTCTTTATCTTTTGTCCTTTCTCTTCTTTTTCCGAATTTGGCTCTATAATCCCTTGAGTCAAAACTCCAGCTTTATTTAGTATTCCTTCCAGCGTTGCAAGATTTGGCTACATTGAGCCAAATGTGGCTACTTTTTTTTAGTTTAACGTAAAAACTATCATTTGGCGCTTTGGCTACTTTTTGGGCTACATATCATTTATAAATATATTAGTTGAATAAAAATGCACTTTAAAATGGTGTTTCTTCGCTTTGTATTAATCAGAGACTCAAATAAACCAAATATTTGCATTTTATCAAATAAATGAATTTATCTATTTCTAAGTAAAAATTGAAAGTGTCTGTAGAAGTAATTTTTTAAAATATCTTATTTTGCGATAAAGTTTTAATACCTATTATTATAATCTAGACATGTTAATCCTTAAATATACTTGTATATTGGGCCACAAGTATATATTATATATACTTGTGGCCCAAAACTCCTTGACTTCTTCCAATGCGGCCCAGAGAAACAAAAAGGTTGGACACCCCTGCTTTAGACATTTTAATTTTTTCTAAAAAAAATGTTTTAGAATATTCAATGTGAGTATATAAGTGGAGTAACTAGAGGGCATTTCGTCACATATTTCATTGGAAATAGATACATCAGTAATATCTGACAATATGAAACTTTCAAAAGAACACATTTGCATGCAGTTGCACTATCACTTCAAAAGTGGCTATAATGCAACAAGGGCTCATGATCCCATCTGCAAAGCATTCAAAAGTGAATAAAGTCAACCAACTGTTGCAAATGTCCAAGGGCTGATAGTGTAGAAGATGGTGATCTGCATTTGTTTGGCATCATGGAGATGCTTCCAATCAACACCACTGTCATGAAAGAACTCTACTGTGAACTCAACTGGATCATTTGAACACCAAGATCAAAGAATGTCATCCAAAATTGACAAAGTCCAATACTGCCATGACAGCATACCAGCACAGAGTAAAGATGACCTTAGAGAAAATAGCCAGTCTGGACTGGGAGGTTCTGCTTTATCCACCTTATAGCCCAGACTTGGCACCAACTGACTACCATCTATTTCAAAATGATTGATATTGATATTGTTGTTAATTGTTCAATAAAGTTTTTTTTCCTCAAAATGTATAAATTTTACAGGGAAATATTGTAATCATCTCATATTTGACACTCCATGTTTTGAGACACTACTTTTTTTGGATTTGGGGAAAAAGGAGGAAAATTGTGTGTTGGTGTCTATTTTGTTTAATATCTCAAGATGGGATTAAGAAATGAAATTTAGATTAGTGCTATTAATACTTTGGAATATGGAACTCAAGGGGTGGGGAGATAAAGTGAGTCACATAACATATCTCAAGTGGGGGTTGGACTTATTGTAAATGCCAATGAGAAATTTTCAGTATTTTTTAAAAGTTCATGTTTACACTCAAAATTAAGATCAAAATGCACTGAAAATTTCTCATTGGCAATTAATTTAACAACAATTACAGTTCAGCCTGGTAGTAATGACAGTAATCACTGTCAATCATCTCACTACCTTTGCTGCAAACTTTCAATATTATTATTATTGTCTTAAAAAATTGTGTGGGGCACCATCTATTGTAGTGTCATAATGCTTTTTTTAAACGGAGATTTTTATTATAATTTCGACAAAATTACTCCTTTTAAGGTTTTATTATACTACAATAGAAAATTATCGGACATTTCTGGGAAAGTTAAGCAAGAGTCCTTGCCAGCTTTTTCCTCTTAGATTGTTATTCATTAACCAAAACATCATATGTGATTTATGAAGTTTAGATTCTCAGATCAAGTTTTAATTTCATAATCTCTCTTATTTCAAATAACAAAACCACTTCAATTTTTTTTTTAATAGAGTTGCAACTGTTCCAGAAGGAAGAGTAAAATCACAATTTGAAACAAAGGGAGTGATTATAGTGTCAGAAACAAATGATAATTCAACCTTAGACCATGCTGCTGCAGTAGATTTAGCAATAGAAGCAGGAGCTGAAGATGTTCAAGAAAGCACTGATGAAAATAATAAAAAGATATTAAAGGTATTCTTATTTTATAATTCGAATGATTAAAAATAACAAAATATTGTCTAATTTATTAAAAACAAGCACTACGCTTTCCTTGTATCTGCAAAGTATTCAAAAAACTGAGTATAATAGTAAAATAAATAATAACTTGATAATGCTAATGTAGAATATATACCAAGAATCAGAGTAACATTGAGTGATGAACTATTGGAAGTGGCTGGAAAATTATGTACTATGTTAGAAGAATTACCAGAAGTTATAAATATATATGATAATATAGAATAATGCAGAGTGTTTTGTTGTAGTTCAGTTATAGAAAATAAAGACATTTACAACCATTCCAAAAATATTTTATTGTGTTTTAACATAGCATTACACTTGTGATTGTACAATTTCTAAACATATTTCATTGTAAAGTGCATATAAAAAGAATTATCAGGGTTTCCAGACAGACTAGTTTAAATATATTTACACTTTAATAAGTTATATAAAAGCAAAATTAGTATGAATTTACAAAAATTTAAAATAAATTTATAATCAACATCACAGTATATAACTTGTCAAATGTTAGAACAAATTGGTTTATTAATGGACTACTATTGTTATATTTATAACAACAATAATTCATTAATATACTTAAATATAAAATGAATTATCTACAGATATCAAATTATCTGTGTACAAAACACAATTTCAATGTTTAATTAGATACACAGCATAACATCACTTTTACAATAATCATATTTCATATGCAGATCATACTTAATACAGTATATATAAATTAGTTGTACATGTTAAATAATGCAATTATTTAAATAATGAATAATGAAATGTGCAAGAGTTCAAAGTCCTTTGGATACATTGAAATATTTTAAGTATAAATTAGAGAGTATAAAAATTGCATTCAGTTTGATGATTAAACCTTTTGCATAATTTTTATAAGATTTTCAGTAACTATTTATAGTTTATAACCAATTTATAAAATAAAGTTTTTATCTCATCTATATTAAATGATATTTCAATAATAAAATACTTTACCATGATAAGAATTCATAGCTAAACAAGGGCTCATGATCCCATCTGCAAAGCATTCAAAAGTGAATAAAGTCAACCAACTGTTGCAAATGTCCAAGGGCTGATAGTGTAGAAGATGGNCATTCTAAATTAATTAATTTAATCCCAATTTTTAAATTTAAGACATGGTGGCAACTTAATTGACTACCTTTAATTGAATAATAAAAATATAATAAAATCTGTATATTTAATTAATCAAAATCTAGCCCACAAATAATCTGGTTTGATTAAAATACTCTATTACTAATTAAATAATTATTAAATTCAAATCAAAACATTTAAAATAAATTCCAAATTATCATCCATTTTTAAACAATATTTTATGGAGTTTATAGGCCTACACATAAAAATTAATGTAAAAATGTTACAAAGAAAGCTACAAATTTATATTAAATTAAAATGAGATATCATTAATATATGGGAAATGTGGACAGAGGATTACAAATCAGCAAAGCCATTGGTATTCATTTGTATTATATAAACTTTTTCTAGCCATTTTAAAATACTTTACCATGATAAGAATTCATAGCTACAAATTTATATTAAAAAACAGTGGGATTGTAATTGACATAAATATGATGATGCTGACTTTAAAATTAATTATTGGAATTGATTGTACAAAGTAAACAATGCATTAAAACAATGCATATAAAAAAACTTTAAGGCACTAATAAGGAGAGTGCATATTCTCAATACATTCACTATGATAGTAATTGAATTATTTCTAAAATTGTTGTCATCAATTTTGCCTGTTACAGGAAGGTTTGACCTGCAATAGAATCAGTCAGCATAGATAATGAAAAAGAATGAATGCCCTAATCCAAACAAACTGATAAATTATGAGGTAGTCTGAATTAAATTTGAAACCTCTTTATAGAATTTTTTTCAATAAAGCCAATGAAATTGTTTAAGTGAGGGCTACTTTTGGAATTAGTTCATGTCAAATGAGTAGGTACTGGTACCTATTATAAACAATATCATGTTCTTTGTCTTAAAATTAATTTAATTATTAAGGATATTTTGAAGCCTAGCTGCTTCTCTGCACAATATATTCCTAAATATTTTTACTTTGAAGTGTGAAAAATTAGTCATTCAAAAATACATTTTATTTAATTATAAATATATAATTCTTTTAAAATAAAAATTATCCTTTTAATTTAACATCATTTTTAAAATTGTCAGTTTATACGTATAAAATATGTGTATAAACTGTATTAGATACTGAAGAAATGATTGACCATATGATGATTTATTTTATAAAAAATAGATCATCTCTATGGTGAATATAGATTTCGTAGCAATAATTAAAGATTTGAAAACTTTATAGAATTATTTATAAAAAGTCTAGATGATAATATATTTCTATTGAGAATTCTAGATAATAATTGAATCTATGCTCTCAATTAAAGCATTTTGGAAGTTTTTGAATAAAAAACTAAGTATTTTTTAAACTGAATTTTAATTTTAAAATATTTATATATTTTATACATTATAAAAACTTTCCTCTAATAATATTTACTTAACAAACTTATTATTATTTGTAAGTATGTACTATTATTTTTACTTTGAAATCTCGGAGATGAAGATTGAAGATTTGATTAAATGTTGACTTATGTTAAATCTTTATTGATTTTGTCAAATAAAATAATTACTATTAAGAATAGTTTAAAACTGATAACATCATTATGCAATTGATACTTTCATTAAATTATAAATTCAGAATAAAAGAAAAAAGAAAATATTATTGCATTAGCTTACTTAAAAAATATTTTTAATGCCTAATCAAAATTAAACTATAATTTTATTTAACTAAATGAAAGTTGTTTAAGATTCAATGAATGATTTTTACAGTATGATGCTAAAATCATTTAATTGCAACAGTGCTTACAATGATGACAACTTATTTCAAACTGTAGATAATTCATAAATTAATTCTTATTATGCACCCAATATATTTAATACTGTATTATAATATTATAATACTTAAATATTATTAAACAATGTGAAGTTGAGTGACACTGCTATTCAAGTCTATGGAATTAGGCAGTGAAAAGGGGTGAATTGGCAACATGGTTGGAACTGGCTGTTCCTTTTTTTTTGGGGTTGAGATTGGAAGATGTTAAGTTTGTGCAGGGAGACTGTGGTGACTTTTATATTACTGTCTTTAATTAGAAAAACAGTCTACATAAACCTTTTTAAGTTAATAGGCTCCCTTTTGAGTCAAATAGTCTAATTTCACAAACTAACAAGTAAGATTAGATCAATAAATAATCAGCCAAAAGCAACAGTATGACTAGTTGCCTTTAGCTGGTTATTTATTGATCCATTCTTATATGTTTCAAGCTGTTTCAAAGCTAGTGTATTGGAAGATTTTTTGCAATAATGATGATTGTTCTGAATACTGTGATCAAAAGTCAGATGCATTTTAATTAATAATGATGAATGGATATGAATTATTAAAATTATTTGTACTATGTAAATTACTTCATTTGATTAATAAAATTTTGTAATTTCAGTAACTGAAACAATCAGCTATGAAATAGAAATAATTAATCATGAAAAAGTTATTAATTTCAATTTAAAATAATTTTTAGAAGTAAACAATATGAGCTGTTATTGCATTTTTATATGAAATTTTATATTCATGTACAGTAGAAGCTCCTTATTTGCACTTTTTTCATATTCACAGAACTAAAATTCATTTAAAGTACTTGGAAAATGTGTGCAAATTTCAATGCATTCTTGGATTCATGAAGAGAGTAGAATGAATTTTTAAATTAGAATACAGAAGTTGTCTTCTTTTAACTTACATTAAATTTGTAGTTATTTTCTTCAGAATTATCACAGTGATTGAAGATAACAAAAAGACAGTCAACAAAAAATAGATTTTTGTGAGCTACATCTAGACATTAAAAAAATCCAGACATTGATATTTTGTGACTGCTTGTTTAAAGTTAAGATGGGTTTATGAGATCCTGAATAGACTAGAAAAAGTTGTGACAGCAGTAGAAAGCCAGCTCTCAAAACACAATTGGTCTTAGTTTCAACTTATTGGCCAAAAGGTATGGGATATCTGACAAAAGTAAGAAAAATGAGCAATTATTTATTGTGACATTGTCACAATACCAGGCTGCAGTTTGAAAAAATTGCAGACCTATAAATTCCCACTGTCCATCTTTCCTTGATCTCAAGAATGGAGTTAGTTAGATGAAATCCAAGACCAGATATAGAAACCTTGGGCAGGAGGCTCTGATTAAATATACGAATCTCCAATGTAAACCGGAAGTCATGTTATTTCAATTCAAATCTTTTCCTCCTGAAAGCAGTTAATAGATGACCAGCACAACTATTGTTAAAGGAAAAGTATGTGTGCAGGGGCAAGCCACAATTAATTTGAGGTGGAAATAATATATTTTAAATTAAATTAATTAAAAGTATGATTAAAAATTGCAGCTTATCATTGTGACAATGTCACAATAAATAATTGCTCATTAATCATATTTTTAATTAATTTAATTTAAAATATATTATTTCCACCTCAAATTAGTTGTGGCTTGCCCCTGTACATCATACTTTTCCTTTAACAATAGTCATGCTGGTCATCTATTAACTGCTTTCAGGGGAAAAAGATTTGAATTGAAATAATATGACTTCCAGTTTGCATCAGAGATTCGTATATAGTTAATCGGGGCCTCCTGCCCCTAAGGTTTCCAATTCTGGTCTCTGATTTCATCTAACTAACTCCATTCTTGCAATCAAGGAAAGACAAATGGATGGCATTGGGAATTTATAGCTCTACAATTTTTTCAAATTGCAGCCCAATATAGTACTTTACAGGGAACATATCGTGAGAGAGAAAAAGTCTGCACAAAAAACAAATCCAGGTAAAGAACAGAGTCAACCAGCAGCTATTGTTCACTCTCCTCAGTGACACCAGAGATGTTCCTTTCACACTGGTTGTAGTTGTGGACGTCAAGAGTTACTGTCTTTTCTTGTCTCCTCATCCTACAACTTACTTGATAAAGTAATAACCTGATGAAAAGAAAGGATTGCACTACAAACAAACTTTGATCAAAACTTTCTGATCTGGCTTGCAAGTTGGATGAAAGGACCACAAGAGCCATTTTTCAATTAGTCAAAAGTGAGTTGGGCATCAATTTTGTGCCCAAAAAAAGCAACTTTCAAAATATACCCCAACTCTGACTAATTGAACAATTTTGGGCTTATCAGACTGATACTCCTGAGCATTAAAAATCATTTGTCTCTCTCTTAAAATAAAATTTAAATTAACCGTAAAACTGTGCTAAGATCTCAGAATTTCTTGCATTGTAATAGCACTTGCATTTACATGGATAATAAATGTGTTTTATATTAGTATACATTGTAAAAATCAGCATTATGTATTTGAAACAGATTTCAATTATTTTTTACATTTCTTTTTGCAAATCATCAATGTTTTTGTTTAAACATTGTTTTTACCTATACTTTTCTACTAAAAAGTTGTCAGGTTTTTCAATGTGTTAGATGCTTGCAACCAACAGGAGTTGCAGCTCAACCAAGCTCCCAGTGAGGCATGCACCACATTCATCCAGCCATGCTAGTAACACTACCAGTGTAAACTTAATTTATATTGTTAATAAAGCTTTCCACACAATATATTTATCTTTTGTATATTTGTGACAATTTTGCAGAACATAAACTTCTGCATACATGGAGCTTCTACTGTATCAGAGAAATGTGTAACAGAAATATGTAATATAAAATGAAAGAAACTTCTGTAATCAGTAGTAGTAAAATATGTAACTTAAATATGAAAATAAATCTTTTATTATAATAAATATAAAATAATAAAAAAAATTATGTGAATTTATAAGAAAAATAAGAAGGACTGTTATCTCTTTAGATAAAAATACAGTAACTAGTTTTTAAAAATTATTAGCTTATTGCATTTTCATTTACAATTATTTTTAACTTAAAAATAATTGTAAACTTGATTTAACTTAAATTTAATTAAAAAAATATTTTTATTTGTTTATAAGTAGTTGATATTACTCTGACTGAAGTCAAAACTATTTATTTAAGTATTAAACTTGGTATAGCATAGATTGAATGGAGTAAAAAGTCTATTTTATAAATGAATATATAATTGTAATTGATTCAGTTTTAAAGTACAGTACATTCAAAACTGAATCAATATAAATTTCAAATATTTTATCCTAAATTCTTAGATACTTATTACCATATGTATATACTTTTGTCAATGAAGAAAATTTACCATAAATGAATTATTAAATAAATAGAAATAACCAGTTTATAAGTTTAATTCCTTTTTTAAAAAATCTTTTAAGGCAAGAATTTGTTAAGAAAAAAAATACTTATGATCAAGTGTAGTAACAAAATTATATTTAAAGAAACATAATAATTAAATCAATTGTTTAATAAAATTTTTCAGCAGTATGGTATTGAGAGAAAATTTTAAATATAAAATAAGGATGTTAAGGTTAATAATATATCTATACTTTATTATAGAAATGTATTTAATATTTATCAGTTTTGAATCATCTGGTAATGCTATAATATTTTATGCATTTAAAATGATTTATAACTGAGAATATTCAGTATCAGCAATTTATTTACAAGAAAAAGAAGGAAAAATCTAAAATTGAATCATAAATTGTAAAAAAAAATATTAACCTATCTCTAATACCTTTAAGTAAAAATTATCATTGTAAAATAATCCCTCAATTTGTGTGTAAAATTGGAATATCAAATATAAAAAGTTATATTTGATGTTATAGTTTTGTTGTATATCTAAAATACATTATTTTTAATATATAAGAATTTAATCAACTAATGCTGGATATGCTAAAAACATTAAATAATTATTACACATTTTAAAATAATTTTATACTGACAAATGTATGTTACTTTAATATTGCATTATAAAATTAATATATATTTTATTTGTTTAACCATAACAATTTTTTAATAATAATAATAAAATATTTTAAATATCTAAAATAGAGATCAATGGATAGTAACAAAGATTGGCTTATTTCTTCATGGTGAAATTTTTGTGTACAATTATAAATCTATGCCATATAATAATTAAGTATTTGCACTAAGTCATTTTTGAAATATTTAAAATTTTAATATAGAATTAAAGTTATATATATATATATTTTTTTAAAATTATTCTCTCATATATAGAAATATTAAAAATGAAGATTCCATTGCATCATTGCATTTCATTTCTTATATTACATTAAATTAAACAACATTAATGAAATCAATATAATTTAAGTAAATTTAGAAAAATGTTAAGGCACGGAGGAATACTGTCAGTTTGATTGTTCAGTTTATAAATTGATAATTTTAGTATTAATCACAGATCTCTTTAAAAGAAAATAAATACATTTGTATATAGTTATACTTTCATTACTTATAAATTATTCTAAATATAAAATAGCAAACATATTTTCTTCTTAAGGGTAAAAACTTTCTTAGAAACACAACAAGATTAAAATAAATTTGATTTTTTTTTTGTTTATGATAAATTCTTTTCATGAAATAATTTCACAGTAGTTCAATCAATTTTGTGTAATAAATAAATAAAAACTAAATTTTCTATTGTTCAATTTTGAAACTGATCTGTGGATTTATATCTGTATATTTCTCAAACCACCATATCTGTGAATGACCACCATGGCAGGGAGCAACATGAACATCCTTTCCAGCTCTGCTACCTGTGACATCCAAGCATTTGCCTGTTGCAACATGTACTAATGCACCACCCTAATAAAATTAAATATTTTTTACCATTAATTTCAAATTGCATACAAAATTGTCTGAACACAACATATAAAATTACTAAAATTTTTAAGAATTTTTAAAATTAAGTTTTAAATATCATATCAATAATAGTCGAAACTGAAACTTCCACAGTATATAAAGACACCACACTTTTCCAGCATTTAAATTTAATTAAAACTAACATTTTTGGTCTGATTGATAAGACTTCATCAGATTTTTTTAAAAATCTGATGAAGTCTTATCAATCAGACCAAAATTTAAATGCTGGGAAAATGTGTTCAGTGTTTTTTATACTGTTTAAATATCAAAATGTATATTAAATTATATTTAGCAGTTTAATTAACACAGAGTAATAATTCAAGACAACATTAATCATTTAATTAGCCAAATTCTAGCCTGATTTTTCAGATGATCATTGATTATCACAATAAGTTTTCTAATTCTATTTTATTAAATATTTAAAAAGTATAAAGTATAATCCATAATTTTGCTTGTTCTAATTAGGAAATTTACCTTTGTGTGTTGCCATTCCTGATTTTCTCGTCTTCCATGACACTTAATCATCATGACTTTCATCTGTCTTTTCTGTGGCTGATAATTGACTTCAGCACAATTCTCCTCTCTTCTTAATTCAAAATTATTTGAAAGTGAAAAAAGCTGAAATAAGATATAAAACTATTTATAAATTTGTGTATTTTACAGTATAAATAATAATTCAATAAATTACTACTATATTACATTATATTTTAGTATCCACAAGAGCCATNATTTGTGTATTTTACAGTATAAATAATAATTCAATAAATTACTACTATATTATATTATATTTTAGTATATAATATAAATAATTAATAAATTATTTATTTTCATAAATATATATAAGAAAAAAAATTATTAAAAATTAAAATATTACAATCTTTCAAAATACTGTGAAAATAATAATTATAATAAAGTATAAAGTTTAAGAAAGATTTAAGATAGTATCACAGATAAAATAGCTATCGGAAAAAATTGTATTTATTGTCTATGGTAAACAAAATTACCTTTGCATTTTATAGAATTACAGTTTGCAATAGTTTAAAATAACTCTATTGGTAACCCAGTCTGATAAAAATCAGTCAACAAACTTATAGCTGCCAATAGTTATGCTTACATTTTAAATTACAATAAAAGTCAATTTTTAATTACAAAAATTAAACTATCTGAATATACATGTCTGAATGATGCTGTATAATATATACAGTATATTATAATAAACAAAACCATAAGAAGACATTTACATGTTTCTTGTCAAACTATTTTATGTGATATAAATATAATACAAAACTGATGATTAATTACAGGAAAAAAATCTAGAGTAGTTCCTATGCAATGTGAATTTGATATAATTAAAAAAAAATGAATAAGAAGAATTAAACCTTAAAAGAATGAAGCATGAAAGATGTGACATGATATAACACAAATGTACTTAAAATAAATACAAATAGAATTTGCTGTTGATATTAAATCATTTTTAAATGAATAAACTCATCAATTGGATATAAAAATTTCAAAGTCAAAGTTCTAGAGATTTGGGAAACCTTACTCTATCACAGAGCACAATTACTTCCACTTCAATGGGCGGAAATACCAGCAAAAACAGGGTGTACCAATGGGCTCATCACTGTCTGCTATATTAGCAGAATTGATCATGAGACATCTTGAACACAGAGTCTTTAGATTCCCTCTCACAATAGCTTACCCCTTGATATACTTGAGGTACATGGATGACATTCTTTTGGCGTGGCAAGGGAGGAGGACTCTTTTCTGATATTAAAACATCACCTCATGAGTGTATACTCCTCTGTCAGCTTTACCTAGGAAAAAGAATCTGGGGGAAAAAATTGCATTTTTAGACTTGGACATCTCCAAGTCCCAGCGAGGTTTGTCCTTCTCCATACACTATAAATTTGGTAGCATTCCCCCAATTATCCCTGCCATGGCCTTTCAGTCATAACAGTATATTAATGCAGCTAGCCCCTTTAATCAGAAGGACCTTTTTGGTGCCTTCCACACAATATCTTACCAACTCTGAATTGGGTATCATCCGCACAGCAGTATGTGCAGCAGGATATGGCTCCACCAAATACAACTATATCCTAAACAGAGTTAAAAGATCCCTTTTCCCAGCTACTACCTTACATAGCCCAAGGGTCTGGACAGTAGTCTGCTCCTTTCTGACATTTTGTGGCTGCCTCACAGTCCAGATTTGCCATATTTTTAGGCAAGATACCTTACTTTTAACCATCACCCTGTGCCCTAGTCTAGGGAGGCTTTTATGTAAAGACAGGGATGCGGTTTCGATCCTAGAAAAGTAGGGCATGTATTCTATTCCATTGGAAAACCCAATGTCTGAGGCACTCACCCACTATATAGGGGCAACCCCAGGATGTTATCCAGCTCCATAACAGAGCACCAATGTTCCGTTGCAGGGGGTAGCTGTGACACCAAACTATCTAAGATGGTTGTGCAGCACCACCACATCCCACTTTGGGACTCTGTGGTGATGCTCAGCTGCTGTGAGGAACGGAATTTGGTGTACATTTGGAAGGCCCTCTTCACCACTCTGCTGTCTCCTTGCAACTCTCCCACCCTTGAGTTGCCTGGGATTTGGATCAGTCTATACAAACAACTATACCTGCATTAGTTCCATTTCTATACCTCTACTTTCTCTGCACAGTAAGGTGCATGCACGACAGTATTTTATTATTTTTAAACCTTTTCTTAAAAATAGCTAATTGCCATTCCTATTTCCTGTGCTGTAAGATGCATGTGCAATGATGTTACCCAAATTAAATTAATACTCTAATTTTGTGTTATGTTCTAAATGGCTAACATCGTTCTTGTTCTCTGTGCATGTGTGACACTTATGTGTATTTTAAATCAAATTCTTTATCTTTAAACTTGTTATGTTCTAAGTGGCTAATGCCATTTTTGTTCCAATTGAAAAACTTGATCGAAAGCCTATTTGATTCTGGTTCTGCCTGAAGACGACGTTTATAAATATGTCGAAAGCGCTCGCAGGATATTAAAACATTTCTTAAAATGTTCTTTAATGCCTTTTTATGTGAATTTTTCTCTTAAATCAGTAAAATTGTTGGTGTGACACTATGTATTTAAGTTACTTAACAAAAAGTCAAAATCATTTATTTATTTTTTTAATCTACTATTTTCAGTTTTGATGGGCAGATCAGACACATGGACATAACTGAAAAATAGTGTTTAAATGAAAGAAAGAAATACTCATAGAAGCAAAAAATTAGCAGAAATTTGATTTTAACTAAAAAAACACACACACACATACACTTACACAAAAAAGAAAGCTAAACAGCTTTAAACTTGCATGATTCCAAAACGCTTTCTTCACTAGTAAGAGAACTGGACTGTGAAATTGGATTTTTAAAAAAATTACATTAATTTATTTCATCTCATAATTAGTTTAAAGTTTAAACTTACTCTCAACCCTCATAATTTTATGAGATTGAGTTTAAACAATTTTAAATATAGGTTTAAAAGATATAGATTATGAGTTCTTCAAATTTGAAATTTTATGATATATATACACATTTCATAAAAATTACTGACTTATTGATACATTAATTTTTAATCATGATGGAATGACATAATAATTTTCAGATTAGATTGGACTATACTATTATTATATATTGCAACTAATTATTGTTATTACTGCTACTAATAATAATTAAATGGTAATAAATTTGGCCTAGAGGCATTTCTTAGCAAATCTTAGCATTTAATTATTATTAGCAGCAGTAATGTAAACCAATCTAATTCAGCAATTGTTTGACTTTAACATAACTATTGGGCTTATGGAATTTATATTTGTATAATAATTTTCTTTCTTGATTTATGTTCTTGGTACATTTGGTTACTTAAAAGCAAAAATAATGATTCCATATTAATTAAAAATAAACTAAAACAAGATACATTTAGTATCTTTGACACTTCTAAATTAGAAGAAAGAAATTGAAGTACTATAATCAAATCCTTTTAATTACAGAAAACTTAATTAAATTAATTTAATTACTAAATGTTAATTATTTTTACCTGATTCATTACAACTCCTTTCTGACTTTTACACATAAACAGACCCACAGCATGAGGATAATCCTCATCTCGATTTAAGGTATCAAGGCACAAGTTTGTAACTGGATTTCTAACCTTTAAATGTAAAGCATATAAAATATGTAAGCTTATACAAAGATTGAATCAAAATAAAAACTAAAACATAACTGAGTTTAATTTCTAAATTTTTTCACAGAAAATCTAAAATTTCAAATAAAAAATTTAATCAAATTTACTACAGAAACAAAATATAACAAAGCTGATAAAAGCTAACTTTTATCAGATATACAACCAACACTGATTTATAGAATTTAATTTAAAACAGATGTATTAATGTTATGGTTTATCATAAATAGTAGAAAATTATTTTAAAAAAAATAATACAATTACATAATAAACTAGATTAAATTAATTTAATCTAGTTTATTATCTAATTATGCTATTATACTATTGCATTATATAATTATTATTTAACTAGACAAATTAGATGATTCATTATTTTCAATTAAACTGTCTGTTAAATTCAATTAAACTGTCAAATTATCAAAGTTCAAATAAACATAAATTATTAAGTAATCAAATAATATATCATTACAAATACAGAAAAACCTTGTTATTTACATATCATATAATTCAAAGTATCATGTAATTTGAAGTCTAGTCCAGTCCCTGGCCAAGAGAACAGGATTTTGCACATATAAACTAAATACAGTGGTTTTTCCAAAAACGTCAGTCTATGAGGCGTTAAATATACTTGAAATTATTTTAATTTACGAGCGCTTGCGACGTAAATAAGCACGTCGTCTTCAGGTAAAATTAAATTCGAATAAAGAATTCGAACCATACATTTAAATTTAAAACATTAACGATACTAGCCGTTTTTGAACATACAAAAAAGATTTTAAATTTAAATTTTTAGAATTAAACATTTAAAATTGGTGCGCATGCGTTTTAAAACAAATAAACATCGATTGGAGTGGCTATTAATTATT